TCCTGTCAACAGCATATTTGCTTGTTTGTATTTTTTCTCAAAAGCATAAATTATTTAATGCAAACACTAATACTGATACTAATTTAATGATCTTATTTTTAGAAGATTAAAGTCCTTTTAAATAGGCTCTTGCATATGCAGAGCAGTCTAATAAAAACTACAGATGTAACATGTTCCTTTGTCATGGGGAAAAGTTAGAGAGACCTTTTTGGGGATGGAATGTGTAATAAGTGGGATTGCAAATCTTGCTTTAAATAGGCCAAGGTGGACATCAGTTGTATTCATAGACATTAACTTGTCTGTATATTACTTTTAACATTTTAGTGGGAAATCTTTCACTGTTTATTCTTGTACAGAATCTCTTTTATTTCATTATTTCATTAATTACAACTCCAAAGTGATCAAATTTCAGTGCTTCAGAGTAACTGCTCAGGGGCATTTGCAGCAGTGCATAGGTGTGGCTTTGAGTGGGAGAAGCTAAACAAAATAAAGCACGGGCAGAGTCGTCTGTGCTTGGGCTTGGTGAGCCATCCTGCCAGTCCTTCTGGGACTGCCGGATTTGAAGAGTCGTAACTTTTGGAATAATCTATTCATGTGTGTGTCAGAAAGCATTTCTTGAGTTGTTGCTTACAGTTCATATTTATTAAATGATGTAATTTAATACTGGAGAAACTAAATTTTAATTTCTGTCCTTAAAGAGCAAAATCTAAGGCTACAGCTGCACTCAGGGATTTCTTATGGATGTAGCCCCATTTTGTAAGGCTTTGCCTTCTAAGGGTTTCTGTTTATTGCTTTAATATCATGAGAGAGCTTCTTCTGGAGAAAGTATTCGTGAACATGCTTTCTGGATTTGTTTTTTTCCTTTTCCTGACAGCAGAACAAAGAGCTGGGCAAACTGCATTTCACTATGACCTTTATAGAACTGCTGATCTTAGGCTGTTTAGCTGCCAGGTTTTATTCTTGTATGAGTTTATATCTTTTATTGGCCTTTTAATACTGGCTTAGCACGTACAGGAAAAGTAACTTTGCATTATTCTTCAGAAATAGTTCAGAAAGTCTTTTGTAGCATAAACTGGGTCTTGTTTGTTTGTTTTTTGGGTTGTGTTGATATAGTATGTATCAATATAATATATATATAGTTAGGTATATTTAGCAAAGATGCTATGATTTACCTAATGTGACTGTTTCCTCATGCTCATCTAATCTACACTGCAGTTAGTGGTGCATGTAACTTCTTTTGAGTCATTGTGCGCCTATCCAACACAGAAGTCTTAGCTCTTTTTTTCTTAGGAAATGTTTTATAGTTCTGTAGACTGAGATTGGAAACTTCCTGAAATATGCAATAAAAGGAATATTCAGTAAGCACAAGCAACAGAATGATGATTACTAATAGAGTTAACTGTTGAAGTTTTATCAACTCATACCTGAGATTTGTTAAATGCATTTTTTCTGTATTTTCCTCTTCTATAAATTTGTTAAAATTTTGCAGAGTTTTGGGGTTTGGTGTGGCTTTTTGGTTGTTTATTTTGTTTTTTGTTTTAATTTAACTGCGTGGGTTTGTAGAGTAACTTATGGCAAAGATGGGGAGCTATTTGGAATAAGATATGTGAAGGCTTTTCCTTTCAGATTGACTGACAACAGCGTTAGGAAATCTCTTAGAAATCATACTGGCTTGCTTATTTTGTAAAGAAAAGGTACTTTTGGTTTCAAGAGTAGTGCTCTTTTGCAAAAGTAGAAATGTCCTTTAGAAGGTAGTGGTAAATCTCAAAGTACCCACAGCTTTTTGCTTGCTGACTGTCTATGCTATAGCTTTTTGAAGTGATTTTATGCTAACCTTAGTCATGTAAATATTCTATTATTATATTCCTTTCATGTGATGCTCTAAAATTCTGAGTAAATTAGTGTTCAGTGGCATTTAAATTTCAATTTATGTAAATCTGTCCATTTATTAGGAAGTGATGTCTGTCTGATGTCTCAGTTTAGTTTCTGTGTTGCGCAGGATGACAGTGGTGATTTGAATTGTGTTTCTTGTAAAGCTGAAACAACTGCAGTTTTTGTGGTTGTGACACTGTAATATGGTGTATGGTTATCATTAATACTTTATGTTAACAGAGGTAATGAAAGATAAAGTGATTATTTTTTTTCCCCTTCTTGATGGGCTGTTGAGCTTCCACTACAGACAAGCATGCTTCATTACTTTTTTATTTCTTTTTAATAATTGGAGAGTTTAAAAATAGCATGATTCCTTCTGAATAACCCACTGCATTTTGAAAAATGTGTGTTACAAGCCCCTTTGATTATGTGAAATTATATTCTTATAAATAACATCCAGTCCTGTTTTAGAGAGTAGCATCAGAAAACCAGAGCTGAGTAATCCTGTAAACTGAGTTCTCTCAAAAAAAAAGCTAGTGTAACTAGCCCTCTTGGTAGGTGCAGGTTAACTGTGTACCAGAATTAATAGTACTTGTGTATGCTGCATCTTACTTGAAAGGTCTTGGAAGCTTATAAAGGTTGATATGGTTTAGTCAGCAAAATACAGAACAAACATGGTCTTGTCTCCTGGTGTTGTCTCCTGTTTTCCCTTATTGCCATCTCCTGGTGGAACTGGTGTGTGCGCAAGAAATAGGGAATGTATGATGCTGAAGTTTAGGAGCTGGAGGGAAGTGTGGGGATGAAGATGTATTTTATGTACAAGGTCACACAATCTGCAGCTTTCTTCTAGAGATAATGATAAGCTGTGACACTCTTTAATGACATTTGAGTCTAGTTCAGAGAAAAGGAGATGCGTTGACTTGAGAAGGCAAGCTCTCGGAATTCGATGAGATGGGTGACGACTCATAGGGCCCTTGGTACAATGTGGGAGGAAAAGCTGTTATGTTATGCTCATCTTAGAAGACAAAATCAGCAATTCTTTCAGTTAGTTAATGCAGTTTGGATGATGTAGTGCTTTTGGTCAAGGTCACCTTGTTCATGGAGCAGTGATACGCTTGCACTGAAAAGGAAACCTTTTTTTGCAAGGCGTTTTCTACTGAACTGTGAGGCAGAGCAACAGGCAAGGGAAGCGTAGGCTACCTCCTGTTTTGTTAGAATACATCAGTGTACAAGGCATCTGTTTGCCTTCTGAAGGCAACCAGTAAAAGGACTTCAGTTTTGTAGTTTTTCTTGTCTCTTTTCACTGTTGCAACTCCACTGCCATCTGTTTAGTATAAACGAGCTGTCACTGTTTTTTTCTCAAGTTGTCTTAACTGGGTTGGAGCAAATGGAGACAAATGTGGTAACCACACCGTTGTTCACCTATAGCTGTACTACAGCTCTTCATAGTGCTGCAGTCCATGTGGCTTTTCCAGTGCTAGCACAGTGAGGGAAGTTTGACCACATGAATAAGCTCCAGGGTAGTTGATCCCTTTACCTCTTAGTATTGCTAAACAAATGACTGTCTAGTTTGAATTTAAATAACAAATACGCAGTAGAGGTAGCAGTTGTGTTTGGGGTTGCAGCCAAACCTGGTACCTGTCTTTCCTGTGAAGTTGTGATCAGGGCAATTTTCTGTTGAAATAACTTTTTCCTACAATACAAACTGTCTTCATAGAATCACAGAATAGTTAGGGTTGGAAAGGACCTTAAGATCATCTAGTTCCAACCCCCCTGCTGTGGACAGGGGTGCCTCCCACGACACCATGTCTCCCAAGACTCTGTCCAGCCCAGCCTTGAACACTGCCAGGGATGGAGCATTCACCACTTCTCTGGGCAACACGTTCCAGTGCCTCACCACCCTTACAGTAAAGAACTTCTTCCTTATATCTAACCTGAACTTCCTGTTTAAGTCTAAACCCATTAGCCCTTGTCCTATCGCTACAGTCCCTGACGAAGAGCCCTTCTCCAACACTATACTAATTCCATTCATTACATAATTTCTGTTGGTTCATCAGGAACCTAAGGATTTTTTCAATGTGAAAAAAATGAAAATCTGCTTTTGGTAGAAGTAGCATCAGCAGTTTGTTTAAGGAGGGAGGGAAATGTTATCAGCTACTGTATAGCATGGGTTAATATTGCATGTAAATGACCCTAAGTAAGAATGACCTGTGGTTTTTTTAGTTTGATTGGTTTGGGTTTTTTTGGGATGGTTTGTTTTTAAATCAAACCCCTGTACTTGTTCCTGATAACTAGTAACATTAAGGAAAACGCTGTTGGGGGTTTTCCCTTAAGACCTGGGGTTCAGGAGAGTATATGGAGTTTTTTAAAGATGCTGTTTTCTTTCTGAACATTTTGCTGTGCTTTAATGACATGAGTTGTAACAGAAACTCAGTCTAATGGTTTACATTTGTCAGTCAGGTGGATTTGCCTTGTATTTTAGAGTAATACTTTTCTTATGGTCAGATTATTGTCAGTTTTCTCCATGCAGTCAAGAATTACTACCTCAACATGCCTCAAGCATATTCAGCAGGATATTTTCTACTGTGACCGAATAAAGAATAGCTACACATGCAGCCTCTTTGAGGGCTAATGCAAATATACCTTAAGATTCCATTTTGAAGCTTGGGAAAAGTATAAATACTTGCATTCAAGAATGAAGGAAATCTGGCACTTGTGCTCAGAACCACAGTACTTAGTCAGTTTCTTGCAACTGTGATCTCTTTTACTGCTCAGTGCTGGCTTGCGAAAACTCTAATAAGATATTTCTTTGGAGTTCAAGTGCTTGGTACCAGCCAAATTGTAGGATGGTGTTAAGTGTTAATACATGTGAATTTGGGGGTTCATAAATCTGATGCATACTCAAAATATTTTTATGAAGTAACAGTGAAAGATGCTGCTTTTCTAACCAGCGTATTTTCAGTGTATAAGAGGTTTCAGGAATTTTCCGCAAGATTAAGGTATTTCCTAATTCTTCAGTCATGTCACACTCAGACAGAAACACCCTGCAGTATTATTTGGAAGGTTTTCAGACTTAGGGCTCTTGATGGATTTGTCTCTGAAAGTTTTGCACTTTGTCTTTTTAACAGCTGTCATGGAGGAGTTGGTGGAGGATGACATCTGTATTTTGAACCATGAAAAAGCAGACAACACTCATAAGAGAGATGGGGAGATTCCTGTTTCATCTTACAGCGGAGATGAGTCTGTTGCCTCACACTTCGCACTTGTCACTGCATATGAAGATATCAAGAAACGACTTAAGGAGACGGAGAAGGAGAACTCCTCCTTAAAAAGAAGAGTGAGAATTCTAGAAGAGAAGGTAAAAAGAAGTCTGTTTACCAGCTTCTGCTAGCAACTGCTGGGTGGCTTTTTTTTGTTCCTGCCTGGAGCAGATGGTTAAGTACTTAAAGTAGGTACTTTTTCCAAGTTAAGTTCTGGTAAATTGTCTCATTTGCTTGACTGGAACATAGTTTGTTCCTCTGGTACTCTAGTTACATGATGCTGGGACTTTTGGGTCATACTGGGCATGTCTGTGATGCAGTGCAGAAGCGCCCTGCAAAGACATTAGCTTTGATTTGAAAAGACACATAGGGTGCATTGGATTGTTACTGTATTTCATCTGCCTCTTTATGATGTTTATAGAGGTGCCAAGTATACACATTGGTTGTTAAGAATGGTGCTGACTTGGATGTTAATAGTTACTTGTAAAATAGCTCTGCTTTGGTTTTTCTCAAATAATCTGAAAAAGTCTTTGCTTACGTTATGAGTTACTAAAAAATCTTCAGTATCCTCTGAATTTTCTGTATGTGGTGTCCTAGTATGCTCAAAACTCTTCTTCCAAAAGGCAGTTTGTATATGTCTAGAAAAATGGGATTTAGGGATTGTCATGTGACTTCTGATGGTTTTTAAATACAGCAGTGACCTAGTGAGCATTAAGTATGGTTAGAGACTGCAGAATTTGTAGACAGCCTATATTGCATTATTGTACTAAAAATTAAAATGTTCTTAGCTTAATGTTGCAGGCTGTGCTGTTGCAGTTCTCAGTATAACATACAAAACTACTTGCTTCTCATGTCTGTTAAACTTCTAGCTGCTTGGTTCCCGACTGGAAGAGGAATGCAGTTCAGTTGGACGTGAACAAGTAAATAAGGCATACCAAGCCTATCGAGAGGCCTGCATTGACAGAGATAATCTGAAAAGCAAGCTGGATAAAATGGTATACCTGTTTAAGGAGTGGCGTGCATGCATGGTATAAAAGTACTGCAGAGTTAATAGATGTTTACCGTAGAATGAATATTATTTGCTGAAAGTCTGTGCTGTTTGTTTTATCGCTCCTTTAGGTTTTAAAAGTACATGACTGTACTTTATGTAGGGATAACAGTTGTAAGTATCTCAGTTTTATTGCTGGGCTAGGTTAATGCTAAACACTCCAAAGAATATTATTTTTTTTTCTTAAAAAGTTGAATTGTCAGGATAGAAAAAAGCTTCACAAATGGTTTTGTCCCTTCTCCCTGAAAACAGGTGAAAGAATGTTCAGAATCCTTGAAAACCTTGAATGAACAGTTGCAGTCTAAAGAAGTAGAGCTGTTACAGCTAAGAACTGAAGTGGAAACTCAACAAGGTATGCGTTTGGTTACTTCATCTCAATCTGTACTGACTCGTCTTAATGGTGATGTTATGATCTTGCGGCATGAAGAGGTTTCACCTATATAGTGGCTTAGGTAAGAGGCATATATTGCAGTGAGCTACTCGAGAACATGTGTGTTTGTTCTAGTAAATGGTGACATGCATGCTAGATTATCACAGGCAAGGAGCTCCACAGTGAAGATCTGAGGCTGTTGTGTTCTTCCATTAATTGAGAAATATCTGAGATATTGAGTTGGTGTCTATATCGTGTGCTTGCCATTAACTGATTTTTGTACTTCTAGTGCCTTTTTATGCTGTTGTCTCCAGCGCATTCCTAAACTCAGAAAATAGATCACTTCTCTGCTGACAGCTTTACCAATTGCCCTGTTGGATAGACTGCAATTTCTTCAGAATGTACAGGATGATGTTTTTGTAGGGCAGGGGCTGGTTGATTGGTACATAGTGAGTTACATTACTTGAACTGAGCCTGAAATCTGGTTGTCTTGTTTGTCCTCTCTACAGTGATGAAAAATCTGAATTGTACTCAGTCCAACTGGGAAATAGAGAAGCTGAACAGTGACCTGAAAGTGCACAGTCTGGAGCAGGATCTAGAAAAGCTCAAGCAAGAGTATAACAGTCTCAGAAAGGAGTTGCAAAAATCCAAGCAGAAGGTACCTTATTTTTTAAGGAATTTTTGTATTAGTAGATTATTTTAAGTCTCATACTCAAGCAAAATAAAGGGCAAACAGAGAATAAAGGATATATCTGAGTGAAAGATAAACATCTTAGTAAAATTAACCTTAAATATCCTCATAGGCTGTCTTGTTTCTTGGAAATAGTAACAGGCTGCCTAGGGAAGTGGTCATGGCACCAAGTCTGTCAGGATGTAGGGAGTGTCTCTACAACGCTCTTAATCATTAGCTTTAGATAGTCCTGCAACGAGCAGGGAGTTGAACTCAATGATCGTTATGGGTCCCTTCCAACTCAAAATATCCTTTAAGTCTACATCTGTGAGATTTGCCAGCCATTTCCGTATAACAACAGAAAATAAAGCTTTATGATTTCTTTTTAGCAGCTGTTAACATCAAAGTTATTCTGTGTTAGCATTTGTCTTGGGCTGGACTATTCAGAAAGTGGGCAAAACCAGACAACAGAATCAACACCATGCTTACATTAAGAGATGTCATGAATTTTGTTTAAGCAGCTGTAGCACTTATTTTTAGAGTAGTAGTATGAAGTTTGTCAGGAAAGTACCACTTTTGGTGCACCTGCCATTCTTGGGCTAGTGTCTGTTTTGAGAGACTAATTGTGCAATGCAGGTGTTATTCGGATCTCAGAAATAAAATTAAGATGGCTTACCAGTAATAAAATGTATTAAGTTAAAGTCTGCTGCATGCTGACTGCTTTACATCTTACTTTGATGAAAGATGCAGTGACAATCTTTAGAAGTCTGCAGTCACATTGAAGTTACACAGTAAATTTGAAAGATGTAACTGTTACTGTTTGAAGTGGCAGACTTCAAAAAAGGTTCCTTTTGGTCATTATGCAGTCATGATTTTCTAATATTGATTGACACAGTGTTTGAGTGAGTCAGTTTTCAGGGTATGTAAGACTCACAGATAGAATCCATCATTCGTGGCCAGTATCTGCCTGCAAACAGGATTTGTTTTAATTTTGGAATGTTTCTTTGGCACATTTTCTTTTGGGCACATTTACATTATTAGAGAAATGTACTTCTGAAGTATCCTAATCACTGCTGTCTCCTGTGCCTTGCATCATGGAGTAGTCTAGAATATGGGAACTTTTATCACTTTCGGATGAGACTAAGATGCACCTGAACCTCTCCTGGGCTTTCAGGGATCAGACTAGACCTAGCCTCAAGTCCCTCTCCCCTGCTTCCCTAGCAGCATATACAGTTGTGTTGTTGGGGTATCAGCATTGGATGCATCTGCACTGATGTGCTGCTGTGAAGCGACTCTCCTAGCTTATGCGGACAGGTTTATGTGCATCGATTGCCTAATGCAAGGTTTAGTCTGTGTTTTTTCCACTAGGAGGAGATAAAGCACATTAACAGAAAGGCGTGTGAAGTGTTCTGTGAATTTCTATTACTGTTGTGTTTGTTTTCATTTGTGTCTAGAATTCTTTTAGGTGTTTTCAATAACTTGTAAATTCTGAAGGCATACTATAACTTGTATGCAGTTCTGGGGTCTTCATTAGCTCTACAGACTAGAGTAACAGCTATATAAATAATCGAAGATTGCATTGTGGGAGTGAATGCATCTGGAAAGAACAGACGAACATAGCTGTTGTAAGGAATGCTAGACCTGATGCTGTTTATATAATGCTTATGCCAGCAGCTTTTGTTACAAAGAACAAATACAAGGAATAGCTTCTCCCGGTAGACTTCTTTTTTTTTCTTTTTTTTTTTTTTTTTAGATACAGTTTCTTTTTGATCCTGGTAACTGTTTAATATAGGAAATTGAAAAGTATATAGTGCCTTTTGTAACTATGAAATTGAATCTTTCATGGCTGGTGGTGAGAAAGGCTTCAGGATGGGGAAAAACTGTCAGGTGCAATACAGAGATATGTGATCCATGGGAATGACAAGTCAGCATTGTTTCCCAGCTCATATTTTCATTACTACTTGCTTTAATGGCATCAGTTAACATTTTCAGATATTTCCTACCTTAGGCAAGTGTATTTCCTGTTGTTAGACATTCAGGTTTTGCGTTACAGTTGATGCAGTGTGTATATTGACAAGTTGCTTGAAATGCACATAGGCTATCATGAAGTCTCAAATTCATAACAGCTTTGGCTGAATGGAACACTAGCAGGAAGGGAGAATGAAAAGGGATATGAATGGGAACTTATCACAGGTGAAGGTCTAACAGAAACGACTAACAAAGCGAGCCAAATGTTTGATCTGTTAAACTCTCAACTTCAGTGAGGCTGCGTGTATGCACCATTTTAAAGTTGCTTTTCAGACTCAAGGGATAAATTATGTTCTGTCATAAAAGTAACTTGTAGAAGCAAATCTATACTGAAACAGTTTGGTTTAATTGAATGATTAAATTAATGCACAGGCAAAGAACAAGAGAAGATTGATTACTCTCTTCTTTTAATAGAAGTCAAAAGCCTTTCTCGATTCTTGCTTTTCAAAGACTTACAAATTCCAAGAGCTCAGCTATTTAAGAAGTAGAGTGAGTATGGCGAGTGGGTATGGTGGCTGTGCAACACTTCTATTTACGTAGTTTTAAGCATTTTTAAGCTAAATTCTTAGTAGAAGTCTTGATGTCCGTTTTGAAAACCACTGCAATGAAGTCTACTTTGAATTTCAGTATCAGCAAACTTGTTTCACTGCAGTATTTGCTGATAGAAGATCTAAAATCATATATTCATTCTGTCTCTGTCTTTCCTGCACTCTTGTTACACAGGACCAGGCCCAAAGTGAAAGTCCATTAAATGGAGACGTCCTTCAAAGGCAAGACATCCAAAGGTACGAAAATCAGGTGGCTTTCATGTTTTAGTTTACTGAGGGACAGTTATTTGAATAGATAAATATTCTTGCAGCCTGTTCAAATGTGTTATTTCAAATTTCATAACGTAATTTCAAGTCTAGGCATACTGATTTAGCAAGATCACTATAAATTTCTTTTTTTTGTTATGTTGGTAGTTCAGCGGATGATGATGATAAAAAAACATTTACATCTTCAGCTTGTACAGAAATGAAAGTTAAATTATCTTGGATTTAAACCCCAGCCTTTTAATAATTAGTTGACTTGAGGAGGTGGTAGATAAGCTTCCAAGTCTCATCCCAGCTGTAAAATACCTTCATTCTGCATATGGAGCAGTTTCTGTGTTTGTGTAGGTGATGGCTTCAAATCTTACTCAGGTGTTGGAAAGTACGGTCTTACTTAGTGCAGTGCAATAATATTTCTACTACAAGACATTTCAAAGGATTGTATATATATAGATATATAGATGTATATATATAGATATATATATATAGAGAGAGAGAGAGAGAGCAGCCAATATGTGGTCTATGCAAAAAGAAATAGCAATTTCCAGAAAAATGGTAAAATACTAGAAAGCATTTGTTCTCATTTTGCTGCCGTTCAAGTGATAATTGTGCTTAGGATATGAACTCCTGTATTATCTTTTCTTGAGTATGTGTTCCATATTAAAAGTAGGTATGTCCTTTAATTTTGGATGCAAAAGAACAATTCCTGGATGCACAAAAGTTCCCAAATATTCTGTCCTGCAGAAATTAAATACTGACTGCATGTCCTACACCCAGCTATGCCCGTTTGTGTACTTACACGAGTTTCCACAAGAGGGAAGAGTAGTCCTTCATAATGAAAGGCTGTTTAGCGCAATACCTTGTTGCTTACTTAGGTATTGGATTGGAAAGAGAATAAGTCACTGACAACAGAACAGTAGAGATATTTCTTTACATATGTTTTCTGGTGTAATGATAATAATATTGTATCCGCTATAGCCAAATTACACTTCACATTTCACCTTGAGTGGATAGCGAGCTCGCAAACACTTGTGGTTTCTGCTGCAGCTTCATAGGCAGTCTTACACACCTAGAAAAAGGTGTTACCTCAAGGTATAGAAATTACCTCTTTGATCTTCCAGAGCAGATTTATTCCACAAAGTGACATTCAGGTGGCAACCATCTGAATTAGCATACGTATAGTACAGTGTTTTTTGTAATAAGACATAAATAATGATTGTCTAATGTGTACTGTACTGAACGTGTAAGCACATCCAAAATCTGTGGGAAAATACTTGAAAAAAACCTCCTATGCAAGACATTTGTTGTAGGAAGCAATTCTGCTGTTCATGGGAGATGGAGGCATTTGCAGGTAGTTAACTTTCAAAGATACTATTTCACATTTGTTAGCAGCCTGCAAATCTGACTTTACATTCTTGGTTTGCAAATCTACTTTGCTGTAGATAGGCTATTGTGTTCCAGGTTTATACTGTATGTTAGAAGGCAGTACAGGATAAACTTCCAGGCATGTGGATTCCTTGGTTTTCAACTGCAAATTCCTGGAAAACTAGGCTTTGCAATGGGGTTCTACATCAGTGCCCATAAAACCAATTAAAATGGTATGTGTGATTTAAGTGGAATTCTGGTACCCGCATCCCTTTGCAAGATGCTTTTAAAAGCATTAAAGACACATTACAAAACTTAACTAGCACTTTCCTTCTGGTTGGTGGCAGATACTCAGCTGTGCTTCCATTTAACGCTTCTGTATTAAATATCAGACTGGTTTTGATGTAACTGAAGTTTGTTTGATCTTATTTTGGAGACCAAACCACATGAATAAATGAAGCAGGATAGCCACATCAACTTAACTGAAACATTGTCTCATGTATTCTGCTGTAAAAAAGCCACAGGTTTGGCTGAATTTCTGGAAGTATCAGTTCTGAAAATTTTAACGTTAGCTGTCAGAATTGCTGATTCCTGTCAATTTCCTCTGTTCTTTAACAGAGCTCTTGAATATGAATGTTTGCATTCTGGGGAAGTACATCAGTGCATAGAAGAAAGTTTAATTTCTTTGGTTTAAGAGAACTCTTCTAGAGTTTACTTGCAGAAAAGAATCATAGCTGTTTCTCAGACTGCTCTTGAACGACGACCTGTTAGAGAGCAGTGTAGGGGAGAGGGACCTGGGGTGGATGACAGGGTGACCATGAGCCGACACTGTGCCCTTGTGGCCAAGAAGGCCAATGGCATCCTGGGGTGTATTAGAAGGGGGGTGCTTAGTAGGTCGAGAGAGGTCCTCCTTCCCCTCTACTCTGCCCTGGTGAGACCTCATCTGGAATATTGTGTCCAGTTCTGGGCCCCTCAGTTTAAGAAGGACAGGGACCTGCTGGAGAGAGTCCAGCGCAGGGCAACTAAGATGATTAAGGGAGTGGAGCATCTCCCTTATGAGGAAAGCCTGAGGGAGCTGGGTCTCTATAGTTTGGAGGAGACTGAGGGGTGACCTTATTAGTGTATATAAATATATAAAGGGGGAGTGTCACGAGGATGGAGCCAAGCTCTTCTCAGTGGCAAACAATGATAGGACAAGGGGCAATGGGTACAAACTGGAACACAAGAGGTTCCACTTAAACTTGAGAAGAAACTTCTTCTCAGTGAGGGTGACAGAACACTGGAACAGGCTGCCCAGGGAGGTTTGTGGAGTCTCCTCTGGAGACATTCAAAACCCGCCTGGACATGTTCCTGTGTAAACTTATCTAGGTGTTCCTGCTCCAGCAGGGGGATTGGACTGGATGATCTTTTGAGGTCCCTTCCAGTGTGTAGCACACTGTGATACTGTGATATATCCAGGTCTGATGAATCTCATGCAGGAGTGATCCTAGATTTCTATTTTAGAGCGACAGAAATCTCTATATATGCATGTTTGAAAATAAAGTTGATATATGGCCTGAAATAGTTCTTAGTCATCTCAACACTAGCTTGAGATCCTGAACTGTTTTCAATTAAATGGCTTTTAGGTGAATATAGTGAGGAAGAAAGAAATACTCCGAAAGCTCTCATCCATGATATTTGTCCTCAATAAAGGTGTTTTGATAGGATGTTAAGCATTAAAACAAAACATTAAATCATTCATGTTTAAGTAACTGCATCCTTATGTCTTTGAACACTACATTAATTACTAGTCAAAATAAATGTGGTGTTTGGTGAGCCTTTGCTTGAAGTTTTGCCAAGAAGCATATGGTGATGGCTTTTTGATTTTTTTTTTTTGTTGTTTTGTTTTGTTCATGATTTCTTTTTACCAGCTATTAATCTGAAACTTCAGTGTTGGAACAGTGCTGCTAAATATGTTTCTCACATTATGGTGCTTATGGGAGAATGAATTGGGTCCTTATTTTTCATACTGTCTGCCAGGGCAGCTTATTAATATAAATTAGAGGACTTGAATCTGAAACAGTATGTTCTGTATTTTAGTTTGGTCTGTGTATGGGTGCTCAGTTTGGATCTTGGGTATCTTGTCTGAATTCACTGAACAAAGTGAGTGGTGTAAAGTCCCAAATAATGATTTTGTTTCAATACTTACAACTGTGATCAGTTAACATTCCTAGGAACATAACATATGGTGGCATGTGCAGTCATTTATTAGAAGCCATTCAGAGTTAATACTCTACCTTGGTTGCAGGCTAGTGTCCATTTAATTTATTTCTTTTAAAGTGTTCCTTTGAGATTAACTATCTTCTGATAAACTAGTAGTTTCCAATAGTGCAGTTGGCAAATCTGCATCATATTTGGGAACTGGAAATTATGATTATAATCTAGTATGCGAATACATTATATACTGTCATATACAACAGTCATCCCTCCATTTACGATGATCATCAGTACTGCTCAGTTAACTTTGAATTATGATACTCAAGCAAAATCTGTAGTGTATGTCTGGCAAAATCATTAACAGCTAATGCTGGATAAGCATTATTAACATGCTCTTAATAGGCATGAGGGTGTTTTAGAGGTGGCAGTTACTTAACTTCTTCCAAATGTTTGTTTTGAAAGCGTGCAACAAGCATACTGGGAACTGAAGAGGGAAATGTCCAATTTGCGCCTAGTGGCTGATGTGCAAGCTGAGGTCCTACGAACACTGAAAACAAACCCAGCAGCGACCAAGAAAGGCAAGTCAGTGTTTGCAGTCACAGACCTTACAGACCATTGATTCAGGCTGTACCATTTTTAAAAGAAACCAGCTATCATATCTTATCAGACTCTAATCAATTGAAGTTGATAAGCTAGACTGTATTATGGTTCCAGCCTACCCATTTTCTGCTTTTGCTTCTGTCTCATACTGGTTAACTTCACACATAAAGGTGTTGCTGATGTGCTTTTTCTTCAGTCCTGTATTCTGTTCCCCTTGTGGCTTTTTTCTCAGTCAAGTGTTGCTTATGTGCACAAGGCTGAGGTGTTAAGTTTACTTGTATTTGACCTTTTACCACAACTACTTCATATTAAGGTGGAAAAAATCTTTTTGCAAACACAGTCTTATTTTCCTAGTATAGAATATATAAAGTATTAATTTGGCAATATTTTAAAACCAGGCTTTAATAGACTGAAATTCCCTTATGGTTGGATATTTCTTTATGTTGGTGTTCACAAAAGCTCTCTTTTCTAGCAAAATGCTATAAAAAATGACGTTTTCTAGTGTCAAAATACTGAGGCTACAAACCTGCCTTATTTCTGCTGCTACATTGCAAATAATTGAGGGAAAAATAATTTCCACATAAAGTATGTATAATTGCTGTAAGCAGTTTATCAGATGGTTCTTCTATTTCATACCTATGTTTCTCTCAAGTCAAGTGCTTTATGAGAGAGTGTTCTTTCTGTGGTGGGGCCAGACTGTCAGTCTCACTGTTTATTGCAGTGTTTGTTTCCTTTGTTTTATGCTCACTGCAGAAAGATGGTGAACTTGGTTACAGTACATTAGTGACAGTCTCTGGTGCCCCTGTCCATTGCAAGATCAAGACATTTTGTTTCTAACCAGCTTTGACTAGGTGAGGTAATGATGGGATTCACCTCCAGGTGAATCACTGCCTTTGTGGCCAGCAGTGACTAATGATCACTCCCTGGTACTTGGCTGATAAACTATCAACACATTTTGTAGACTCGGTCATATTGTCCCCAGGTGAGTGTGTTTCCCTGCAGTTCCAAGACACATTTGTCAAATAACTTCAGCAGAGAAACTGGGAACTGAATGAGGTTTTAATCCTTACGCTTGTCAAGGTTTGATGTGATCACACAGTGTCTTTCTGTCTTTATTTTTAATTGGGAGTTGTCTGTCTTGCCACTGCCAAGTACTGATTTCTCTCTTGTCCTGCTTGGTCAACAGTCTGATTTTCTGCAGTTGTTAATGCAGTTACATCCACAGCTATAAAAGGCATTATTGATTGATTGGGAAACAGTAGAGTTTGGCTTTTTGCTCTGTAGGCTTTCTTTGTGATTTTTCACAAGTATGGAAGAGTGGGCAGGCCTGGCAGAAAATGAAAACAGGATTCAGTTTTTTCTGTGTATCTTGCTCATCAGCCACACTTAATGAATGCAATGCAGACATATCTGTGCTTATAGAAAAATACTGGCTTATGCAAAATATGGGTGGAATTGACTTAAAAAGTCCACTTCTTGTATCTGTAGTAGTATCTATTTTACCATACACAAATAGTTGCTACTGTTAGAGGTGCGTTAAGTCTGCAGCGCAAATGTATGAATTGCTGTGCGTGTGATGTTAACAGTACAATTAACATGCAGATTCTGTTTAGCTGTCATTTATGTATGGAGGCATTTTCAACAAATGTACCTCTGCCATTTTTTATGTTTTCAATCCATTTTCAGTGAATTTCATTTTTCTTGAACTTCTAAAGGGTTGTGCTTTAAGTAGTTACTGAATACGGTCCGAAAATACATAGCTTGAAAACCCTGACATCTCTGCTGTACTGCAGCACATTTGGAGAGGATGAAAAATGCATTGGATAATATCATTTTAAAATACTATTTTATCTTTTTCTGTTCAGCTGCCTCTACTGCACCAGTGCAATGTGTTGACTTGAACATTTCAAAGCTGAATTTGACATCTGGGGTGGTCTATAAAAAACTCTCACTGAATGACCAAGTACTCTGCAATGCTGTGTCTCCCCCTCTCCCAAGAGATGGACAGATCCCACCTGAAAGGGTGATTCTGCAAGCATGGACAGATGAGAAACCCATTCCAATGGATGGCAAAACGTTTCAGGAATACCATTCATATGGAAAGAGCTCTCTGGAAGATAATTCCTGGGTGTTCCCAAGTCCTCCAAAGCCTAATGAGAATGTGTTTTGGGAAATGAAAAATAGATCAACTTTGCTAAACTGTCCAGCAGATTACCTGGATCAGTGTAATCAAAACTGTCTGCACAAGAGTTAAAGAAGTTTTAGAATGAACCAAGGCATTTTTAGAATGGTTCTGAATAGGCACCTTAACACTTGAACTTTTAAAGGGGGAAAACAAACTGCCTGAAATGGTCTTTATTTTTTAGTTCTAGTTCTGAAACAGAAAGCCTTGTCTTCCTCTGCTGTAAATCAGGAACAAGTTCCTTGAAGTTAAAGCTGTGCTGGCATAATGTAAATAGAAAGAGAATGAGCGTGGGGCTTGGATAGTCTTGTACTGCAAGTGGCATATATTGGCAAAAGATGACACTGAGAAGTGAGTTCTTGGAATAAAACAGAATAATCCAGTTCTGTATTTGTTTGCTATTTGTATGTCATCAAGAAAATATTTGGTATCCTGTGTTAATCTTGTGGCAGCTCTGAGCTGATTTTTTTGACAGTGGTTTTATTTTCCAGAGTAAGATATAAAATGAGAATTGGATTTTCTCTCCCTCCTTCCTTTCAATTCACTTCCTGTTTTCTCTGGTTTAGAAATGCATTTTTTGTGTAATTTTTAACCAAGAAAGGTGAGATTTTTCTTCTTCAACATCTTGATTTATATTAGTGACAGATTAAAACCACTCCTAGGCTGTTCTGTTTAGACTGCACCATTTGGGGCTTTATTGTGAATTACAAAGGATTGTTAAGTAGTGCTGCTGCACACTGACTCCTGCTTTTCAGCCCATGTCCCTCTGTTTGGGCTGTAGGAAGGTGACTAATTCTGCACACCCGGTGCCTGCTACAGAACCACCTTGTTCATGGTACAGTCATCCTTATCATGCCTCCTTTATACAGCACGGGAACCAGGACTTTGTGTGGTGGTGAAGGCTACTAACCTGGTTTTTATTAAAGAAACAAAGCCTTAATTTAACAGGAGTAGGTGTTGCAGTGTTGTTGAAATACACAGTAAGTATTTTTGTGGTATCATCTTTAGTATGCCACTGAGAACTAGAGTTACATGAATTGAAACCGCCTGCTTAGACATTATGGGTGTCTAAATACTGATGTTCTTTTTCTCCTCCTGAGGCCAAGAGCTATTTTTAGGCAAATAGAATTTATGCCTTTCTTGAAAAGGAAACCTGTTCCGTTTCATATCTGGCTTATTACAGCATGGTTAAGTGAAATGTCTTGACTGCTCAACGCATTTGTATTAGATCCATGATGCTGAGCTTGTACTGGGCGGGAAGATACTTCATGCTCAGTGTGTTATTTACAGATGTGTGGTTGGCTGGGTGAAGTATTCAACCTCACAGGTCCAGTTTAAGTGTAATAAAAATTAATGTCATAGCTGTTTAGTAGCAAATTATCTTTAAATTGCTTGCAGATGCACAGGTAAGCTATGACTGCAGCACAGCCATAGTAACCATGGGCTGTAAAAGTGTCACTGAGGTGCTACATGACCTGTGTGGTTCCAGATGCTTTCTTCCCTGTGAGCAAAGTACGTCATATGAAGTCCATCATCTTCTCTTTCAGTTTGTCTCTCAAAGTTGAAAAAATGCCTTCCAGGTACCTTCTACTATATTAGTGTGCAGCATACATAAATCATGTTTCCCATTCACCAGATATTGTTTTTATCTTTCTATTATCTTGCTCATGTCGACGGGCTTGTCTGTGATTAATGGAAATGGTGTCATGCTGGAATTTATTCTGACCAATGAACACAGCTGACTCAGGGGAGTACAATCTCTTGGAAAGTAATAGAACAAAACCCAATATGCATAAAACAAATCCAAGTCACTAGGCTTGAGCTGACAGAACCAACTACCTGTGTAATAACAAAGCAGCAGAAACCATTTTTTATGTGGCTGCATAAAGCTATAAGGTATCTAGTTCTCATGTGGCTTACTTTTGGAGTTCCCCACGTCAACATTACAGAGGAGTCTTATTATGTATTATCTAACAGCCATCAACATGATTGATTAATACTTTGATTTGTGCAATGAAGGAATTCTACTGTGTAAGATTTGAAATAAATTTATTTTTGTTTGAAATTGGTTTCACTACAAATCTTTCTGTACCCGACCCAACAGTTTTTACTCAGTTTTAGTTTCTTGACTGTGTATAGATGTAATTCCAAATACAAGCAATTACATTTGAGATTCATCCTCTTCCATTCAGGAAAAAAAAACCCAAACATCCCCTGTAGATTGCTTCAGTGTATTCTGGGAAAAATAGGATGTTGAAAGCTGAAGAACTTCAGTTACCTTAAGCTACAGTGTGTGCCTCCGGTTTGACTACTTGTGTCTAAAGTCTCCTGGTCAGCCTGTGTGATAAGGAAACTTAATTTTAAGCTTGTGTGCGCAGTGTCTGAGAATTTGTTTTGCCTTTGACTCGGTTTATCTTCTGTGCTGCTTCCTGTGATGGAGGAGGGAGCAGCAATGTTTGCTGAGAAGGGACTTCAGAAGCGCTGCTGCCGGAGGGAGGAGGGCAGGCTGATGGTTGTAGGCAGGCTGTAGGCAGCATTTCCAATCCAATCACTCATTGCTGTGGCCAAGCTGTAACATTTGAAAAGGAAGTCCCCAGGTTTGAGGTCACTTGGGAGCTAGCTGGCTGCTGAAGCATCTGTTGGGCTGAAGCATACAATCAAATTCTGACTCAAGATGGAAAAGTCATTAAAATCCATGCCACTAGTGGCTTACACGGCTCTTTCCATTTTCAGAAGTGAAATCTTTTCATTATAATGACAGCAGATTACATGCAGAAGTAGCTGTAGTAAAGGAGTTCTGGTGGTTTGTGTGCACACATGCATTTGTTATATAAACCCATGAAACTGCATGAAGGACAGACCAAACTCCTCAAATACATTAAATGATGCCCACAATCCATTAACTTGAATGCACAACAGTTTAAAACTTCCCCCTGCACTGATCCGACAATTCTTAATTTAAGAAAGCACCATCAGTTAAATTCCATTTAACAGAAACAGAATACAACTTTGGGGGCAAGAGGGAATTGTTGTTTTACATGTTTAAGTGAGCATATAGTGAGCGAACACGTTTGGTGAGTTGGACTAACCTAATGACTTGTATGTAAACTTCCACTGTTTGGTTCATTTAAAATGTTTTGAAAAATCTCATCATTTTCAGTGTCCCTGCTGGTTTTGCAGGTTTACAACCGATGAGTTTCTGTGAACTAAGTGTACTGAAAAAAGCAAACTCCAGAATTAGCTGTGATGTGCCACCAAGTTTTTACAGCTGGAAAAACAGGAAAGCAGTGTGATACACACAGTTGGAGTTACAGTAAGACAACACTAACTGATGTAACACAGGTCCACGTCAGTACAATATGAACTACACTAGTGATGTGAAGCAGATTGTTATTTCAAAGTCAGCTTGCAGCAGACTTTGAGACTCCTGTGCTCAGACACAGGTGTTAGTACTGATATTATGACCTGGTGAAGGAAGAGTGAAAAGTGCCAGTACCTCACTGACTCACCTGCATTCTCTTCTGATCTTCAGCTCAGCCCTCCGAAGAACACTGGGCACAGAGTGGTAAGGTGTTTCCCTCTCGCTTTGTGTAGTTTGGATACAAAAGGCATGTGGGGTTTGGGTTTCTTTGGTTGTTTTTTGGTATTGTTGAGGTCATTTTTTAGGGGTTGGGATTTTGCCCCTTTCTTTAGGTGGAGCAGTGAGCTACTTGCAATTGTATCAACATAGGACAGTGGAAAAAAGTGTTCTACTACTGGCACTAAAGCTAAACCCTAATTTTAACTGAGTTGCATTTGAACCACCTAAACAAAAATCTGCTGTGGTAAATGTCATGTGAACTGAGGTCAGTGTCCATCACAATTCCTTTCATTATGTCTTAAGCTGGAAGAGACAATGTGGTTCAAACATCAAGGTACAGTAATAAAGTGGGAGAATGCAAGTGTTCAGGTATAGATGTTTGATACAGGGCAGAAGTATGAAAGAAATAACCAGATGTTCATTGTTACTGACTTTTAGCTAGATGGAACGGTTATTTTTCAACTGTATTTGACCATTTTTGGATCAGCAAAGTAAGCAGACGTCACAGGAATTACTTGAGGAGGAGTATGGCTGTACTAAATATGAGGCAGAGTGGGTTTCTGACTGACATTAGTCATCGGTGGTATCTCAGACCGCAGCTGTAAGGAGTTCCACGCTGCTTTGAAACCCCTGTGCATTACAAACTGCCACTCACTTTTCCTCTTGAGTTTTCATTTGGGCAAACCTTTTAAGTAAGTATACAGCACCTTTTTCTTCCTGCCTTTTCGGTCTTGCACTTGTAGGGGGCTTGTCTCAGGAGATTGAAGAGAGCTTTAATATGCTGGAAGAGTAGAGAAGCGAAAGCCATGGGTGTCTGGGGTGCTTGCCCAGCTCTCCCAAGCACTACGAAGGTGCTCCTGTGCTGCACAGTCTTGAGACACACACCCTGCAAGACTGCTGGGAGTCAAATCACTCTTACAGCTGTAAGACCTTACTACTGATGTTTCTTACATTGACTAGAATCTAGGGCTGGTTCCTGTTACCCCCAGTAGGAAGGAGAGGTTGCAGCCAGGACAAAAACAAAACTAAAAGCAATTTACTAGTATGTGTTTGTCACCTCACAGTACTCATTCATTCATTTGACCTTTAAATAGAAGATGTAAATGCAATTAAAATACAGAATAGGGCAGAAGACATTAAGGAAGTGAAGGGTGTGAAATGAGGAATTTGAAACTAGGGAACATTGCATCAAGGCCCTGAGTTTGTTACAGAGAAGCTGATCCCAGAGCCAGGAGCAAAGTCCAGCTGTGTGTGCCACAGTACACACAGGAGAAGCTGTGATAACCCAGTTCTTCCTTACACAGTGTAGGTAAAGAGAAATGAAGGGCTGACACCATAATTCAGCACATGAAACTTCAGAGCTTATCAGTGCTGATAATATGCATAATAAAAAGTTTTGGAGACTAGTGAAGCCATTTATGCATTTGAGAGTTCTAAAGTTCAGCAGGTTCAAGTACCAGTATAAAGAAGATCTTTTGTTATGCAAGTCCCTGTTTAGTTTCTGCAAGAAGCAATCTGCATCTTACACACTTGGGTTAGTTGCTTACTCACCTCTACCCATAATAATTTTGCAAATGTGGTCACTTGCCCACTCCTGAAGTGTGGAAGCTTAAACAATCATCATCATTGCGAAAGAGGAAAGCAGGGGAAGATGCTGCTCTCGGCGATTTGCCTTCTCCCTTCCTGGGCAAGGTTTAGGTCAGAAAGACTTTTCCCTTTAGTGTCACAACAGTCATTCTGGGCTGCACATGGGCACAGGACAGGCAGCTCTTCTGACACAGCAGTCTTAAAAATGAGTCACA